AAGCCACAAAGTGATTATCTTTTCTTTGTTTGTTCGACAATAAAAAAAAAAAAAGAAAAAAAATCAGTCATACATCAAGAAGGCAAAACAAAGCGTATTTTACGAGCCCCAAGATCCGACGTACGCAAAGAATGAGGAGTTTGCCGCGTACGTCAGTCAGTCCGTTTTTGTCCGTGAATCTTTTTTCGGTGACGTTTAACTGGCAATACTATTAGCGTTTTTTTTTTTTTTTTTTTTTTTTTTTTTTTTTTTTTTTGCTGGTGAGGGATGATATGCGTCTAAGATCTCGTGTTCTTTACTTTTTTTTATCTTTGGGGGTAATGCATGAATTATATGTATGTATATTTGTATGTATTTACACAACACACACACTCACATACACACACACACACATACACACATACTTTCATATGATATATATGAAATTACACCACAACCACACACACAATATAGTATGTATTGCTATGGTATATCTATATTATATATTTAATATATATATATATATATATATTATATATTAGTATTATGTATTATATATATAATATAAATATATATATATAAATATATAATAATGAAATAAATGTATATTACATTTATTATAATATAATTATACTATTATATTAATATAATATATACTATAATATATTATATATATACTATTTATATATATGATTATCACACATACACACACACACATAATTATATATTACACACAGTCTATAATACATATCTTATACTATTACATATTATGTATTCATTGGATCACTACATACAAACATCTACTATATATGTTATACTCATGCTATATATATATACTTATATATACGTCTAATTAAATTACAACTATATATACTATATATAATTATGTGGTGTGTGTTGTAGTGTGTGTGTGTGTGTTTTTTGTGTATGTGTTACACACACAATTCAAACACACACACACACCACACACACACACACACATCACACATCACCACACACCACACACCACACACATTATAAGATATATATACTATATATAATAATTACTATATTACACATATTATATGCTATACATTGATTTAACCATTATGTAATATATACTACATATGTATATATATATACATATAATATATATTATATATATATCTATATATATATATATATCATATATGTAATATATATATATGCATATATATAATAAATATACTATTAACATAATAAATATTTTATTATATTTAATATGATATATACTTATAAGTCTACCATTAAGATTATATATAAATATTATCTATATATACATACATACCTAACATAATATATACTAACTATATATATAATAATAATTATATATATTTTATATTATGTACACACCGCACACAACACACACACAGCACACACACACAACACACACACACACACAACACCACACCACGACACACTATAGGATTATCATATTATTATAATACTATATACTATATTTATATGTGTTGATGATGTGTGTTTGTGTGATGAGTGTGTGGTGTGTCGTCGTCTGTGGTTCAGTTGTGGTCGTGATGTGTCGATTGGGTGTGTTTACATACTATACCTTTATATATATCACACACAAACACGCATACATAATACATTCCTGCAACACACGTCACACTTGCAGAATTTTCACAACAAAACTTCACAACTAAGCAATAATATAGTATATCTAGTCCTGCTCACACAGTACTACTATATAAGTTTATCAAGTTCCCTCCCAGAAATTAAAGCATTAACAGCCAGTCTCAACTTGTGAAATTGGGATGAACGCATGAGCGACAACTTGTCAAAGAAAAAGAAAGGAAAACATTAAAGAAAAGAAAAAAAATACGTAATGATCGTTCGAAGGACAAAAACGACTCCTATTGCCAATCCTCTGCCGAACCTTGGATTCAGTTTTCTCCATCTGTCATACAATTCGGCTAATATTATTTAATCTAATGAACCCGTTACTCACTTGTGGTCATATAATAAAGGAAACTGTTGATTAACCGATTATTATATCTCATTAATCTATAAAGTGAGAAGTAAAAAACGTCGCGTAAAAATTAAGCTCCCTAGAGCCAGCAATTTCGGCGGATTTTCAGTAGTAAAAAGATACAACTTAAAAGACTAAAATAATTGGCTAGTTTTTCCTCATAAAGTAAATCGTCTAGATAACCGTCTTTCTCCATTAATATTTACAGTAGGTTCGAGTAACTTACTCTTACTTAAAAATGAAAAGAAAAAGTATTTGAGTTTATACAGTCCGTGAAAAATAACTTTTAGCGACAAAAATGATTTAATTTTATTCTCACATAATTCTAGATCCCTATTACTGATTTACCGGGAGAGAGCAAGAGACGAAATGAGAGAGAGAGACAGGACAGAAGAGAGAAGAGAGAGACAGACAGAGAAGAGAGATACGAGAGCAGCAGAGAGACTAGAGAGATGAGAGAAGAGAGAGAGAGAGATACGAGAGAGAGGAAGAGAGCAGAGAAGCAGAGAGAGAGAGAGAGAGACAGACAGGAGAGAGGAAGAGAGCAGAGAGGAGAGATAGGAGAGGACCTTAATGACGAGAGAGATGAGAGAGAGCAGATGAGAGAGATGAGGACGAATAGAGGAGACTAGACGAGATGAGAGATGAGATGAAGAGTAGAGAGAGACGAGAGAGAGAGGAAAGAGAAGAAAGATAGAAAGACGAAAAAAAAAAGAAAGAAAGAAAAACACACAACCCGAAAGAAAAAGACATAAACCCTTCCCCCCCCAAAAAAAAAAAAAATACTCTAAAAATCATGCAATTAATAAGATGCAAATCCCCGCCAAGATCTATAACTGCTGAAGAGGAAAGATCGTTTTAAAAAAGTCACTCCAAGAAAAAGGCGCTTGCGACGAGGCCGCCCGATTCGCGCCCAAAGGAAACCGGCACGCGTCATGCCTTTGGCGTCTCTTTCTTCTCTTCTCCTTCTTTTCTCCTTTATCATTTAATCTTTATCTTTTCTCCTTCTTCGCTCTCTTCTTCATTTATCTTCTCCTTCTTCTTTTCTTTATCTTTTTCTTTTTTCTTCTCCCTTCTTCCTTCTCTTATCTTCTCCTTCTTTTCTTCGTTATTTCTCCTTTTTTTCTTCTTCTTTCTCTTTATCTTCTCACTTCTCCTTCTTCTTTCTTTCCTTATCTTCTCTTCTCTTTGCTTCTCTTCCTCTTCTTTCTCTTCTCTTTATTACTTCTCCGTTCTTCTCTTCCTTTTACCTTTTTCTTCTTCTCTCTCTTCTTCTTTATCTTCTTCTTCTCCTCTTCTTCTTCTATTTCTTCGTTATTATTGTTGTTGTAATACTTTTTCTTCTTCTTTCATTTCTTTCCTTCTTATTATCATTTCTTTCTTACTTTTTCTCCTCCTCCTTCTTCTCTTTATTCTTCGTATTATTGTATATTTCTTTTCTTCTTCTTCTTCTCCTTCTATTTCTGGTATGATCATTTATCTTTTTTTCTTCTTCCTATTTTTCTCGTATTATTGTTATTTCCTTTTTGTTCTTCTTTTCTTATTATTATTTCTATTTTTAATTTTTTCTTCCTCTTCCTCCTTCTTCGTATTATTGTTATTTGCTTTTCTTCCTTCCTTTTCTTGTGTGTCTTCGTATCATTGTCATTTCTTTGTTTTCCTTCTTCTTTCTTATTATTATTTTTATCTACTTTTCTTGTTTTTTCTTCCTTCTTTTTCTTATTCTTTCTTATTGTTATTTCCCTTTTTTTTTCTTTCTTTCCTGTTATAATTGTTATTTATTTTTTCTTCTTCTTCTCTTCTTCTTATTTATCATTTCTTGTTTTCCGCTTTTTCATATTATTTTTATTTCTTATTGTTATTTTATTATTATTATTATTCCCTTGTCTTCTTCTCTCTTCCTTTCTCTACCTTCTTTTAGCTTCTCTTTTCTTTTTATGTTTTTTCCTATTTCTTCTTTTTCTTTTCTTCTTCTTCTCCTCCCTTCTTTAATTTCGTTTTCCTTTCGCGGTTTCGTTGTTGATCCCTTCTTATCTTTTCTTCTTCCTTTCGTAGTTTCGTTTGCGTTTTTTTCTTTCTTCCTTCTTTCGTATTCCTTTCGCATCGTTCCGAGTTTTCTTCTTCTTTCTTCTTTCTTCTTCCTTTCGCTTTATTGTGATTTTTTCGTTCTCGCTTCTTCCTCTCGCATCTTCATCATTTTTTTTTATTATCAATCTGTTCACAACTTCGTCATGGATTTTTCCCCAAATTCTTCATCATCATCATCTTCTCTCTTCTTTCTCCCTTTCGCATCTCGAATTTTTAAATTTCTTAATATGTCCGAGTTTTAATGACACACTTTATCATTATTATCATTTTTATTTATTATTATTATATATTTTATTGAGTGAATTTCTGCACTTTTCTTTTTTTGAGTAATTTCTTGAATGTAATCTTTCTGCAAGATTTTTTTTTAAATACTAGACAAGGCATATTATTTTACTTTTATGCGCGTGGTTAATCATTTAAAGCAATAAAGACATTTATGGATTCTAAGGTCGTATGCACTAGAACCTTGGGAGACTAACCACAAAAAAGAAAGAAAGAAAGAACAAGGAGAACAAGGCAATGTAAAAAAAAAAGAGAAAAAAGAAAAAAAGGTTTATTATATAAAAAAAAATTGAAACGCACATGACAATAATCCTTTAAGATATTAAATACTTTAAAAAATCTCCAATAGAATAATAATAATAAAAAAAAAAATAGATAAATAAATTAAACCAAATAATCCAATAGATAAAAAGTCCCGCTTTAAAAAGAACTTCAAAAAAAATAAAATGAAAATAAAAAAGAAGACAAAAAAAGTAAATCAATAAATGAAAAATAAAAATAAAATAAAGCTGACAAACAAAATCAAAACCAAAAACCAAAAAACAAAAAATGATAATAACAAATCCCCCCCCTAAAAAAAAAAATAATAATAATAATAAATAGATAAAATGAAAATAAAAAAAACAAAATAAATATTTATACTCAC